CACTTGCAAACCTACAGCTGGGGAGAAGCATTTCCAATGCTGCTTTACTACAGCTCAAGGCCAGCTGCATGCCCACACTCCTGTGAGAGGCCTTCATACAGCCCATGCCAACCTTGTCATACACTCATGTCTTGCTGGAAAACTTATCTCAGAAGAAACTGTGGTATTTTGGCATTCTTAATAAAGAGCAAAAAGGGGACCTTGGCATGAATGCCACATAGTATGTTAATAAGTCCCTCAGCCCATCTGAACACCTAATGCTTTATCCCATATCAGAACTGTCAAAACAGAGGTCTACAGACCTCTGCAAAGATCCTCTAGTATGCTTGGGAGGACAGTCAGGCCCAGCAAGTTTAAGAGAGCGTATTTACAACTCAGACAGTGCCTGAGGTATGTAACTCTGCCCTATACCCATACTCCACTACTGCTATGCTACTCCAACTATATTACACAGATTACAGCTGGTATAAAGCACAAAAACCAGATCAGAGCACATGAGCAATGTCAAGACTAGCAATTCCCTGTGAATGAATCTCTACATTTATACTTATTGAGAGCATGCAGTACAGGAGCCATTAAAAAGTCAACATTTGCAAAGCAGCAAATAGATATCAATTAAGTAACAAAGTGTTGGTGATAACTGTGGTAAGCTGAGATGCCACAGGATGGCAAGCGTTAGAAAACACCTACATTTCAGCAGGGATCATAACAGCACATCCTTTTTGAAGTATGAACTACAAATTGTGGTCAGGTGCTATTGAGTTTGTGATAGCAATACCGCTCATAAGAGAAGTGACATACAAGATAACTTAGTGTTTAATATAATAATTTTCAGACTCTGAAAAAAAAAAAAATGGACATCATGGGTAGAGACTATTAATGGAACACTCTGATGGAAAATTTAGGGATGCTTTCTGTAAACTGAGATTTACTTCCCTGCAGTTAACTTCAGCTAAAGATACTTAGGTCTCTAGATCAAGATGAGAAGCAATACCAATGGGGTTTACTGACATGGACTTTATAAAATTGCAATATTTCAATATAATAAGTAATAAGAACTGTAAGCTACTTTTTATCCATCAAACTGATTTACTTTTTTTCTTTCTTTCTTTTTTTTTTTTAGAATCAGTAGCAACTTTGTGACAACCAAAGTTTAAAAAATGCACTTGATTGCATAGTGACAGATTTGCAGAACATTTTTCATCACACACACATATGTGCTTTCAGTTATTAATAAAATGCTTCTGCCCTTAATCTGCCGTTGCCTGAATATACAATTTCAGTGACTTGGATAGACAAATACTGTTAAGGAATTCTGTTTTCACTGTTTGAGATGCAATTCAAATACACCCAGCAAAACCGAATACTGTGTCTTTAAAACTGGCTTCCGAATGCCACAGAAAGGAATACTGAATCAGTTTTCTACACAGTCTCCAAGGAATGATTAGAAAACTTTCTTTTCTTCCCCTGCCCTCCTTTTCTTTTTCCTCCGTTTCAGACAAGGAAGAGCCAGCTGCCATGGATAGCACCACAGGTAGATATTAAAACGGAGACAGCCATTATTTAGTGGCGACAGGAATATAAATACATGCACTAACCTATAAACCGGTGTTTACTTCAGGAAAGTAAGTCATATTTTTCCTCTGATTGCTGTGCTGTCAGTTTAATGCAGCGTAAATAAACAGTAGGTGCATGATAGCTTTAAGTAGAAAGTGTTCATTCCATAAGAGGAGCAGATTACTGAAGCCTGATGCCTATAATGGCAAAAGCAGAACTCCCATTTTACCTGAAAATATAGCATTTCATGCTAAGAGGCTTGTGGCTTTTCTATTAAATTAATTTGTCAAAATTCTATGAAAAATATTACATACCCAACAAACTTAACCAAAAACATTCATTTTTGCAGCCTTCAACTTGAACCATTTGAAAAAACAAAAGCCAATCACTCCTCTGTAATTTCATCATCCCATTGCTCTAAATGAAAGCTTTATATAATCAAGCTAATATAACAGAAAATAAAATGATATATAGAATTGCCCATACTTTGAGTTATTTTGTTCTTATAAATATATTCCCCGACTGAAAGTAAAAAAATTCCCCTTTGGAAAAAGCAATGATTTCTGAGAAGATTGTATATACACTCTACATCTATTAACATAAATTATAAGAAAGTAAAATGTTCCAGATGTGTTTAAACTGTTGTGGAAGGAAAGTTTGTGGCTTCACTGGATATATATTAAATATATCTAGAGAGAGCAATGGCAGTTATGTACGAGAAGGCAATAAAATGCTTCGGTAGTGTCTATGCTAAAATAGCTTAGTTCCTAGAAATGCGGCTAACATTTCAGAAGTCACATTCCTTCCATTTCTAATTCAGAAATCTACTTTTAATATATATCTCTAATATATTCTTTCTATATAACATAATCTATTTTATTAATAAAATAATCTCCTTGATTTTTTTTCCTCCAAAGTACAACTTGAAACCTTACAAAGAACTTTGAATTTTTCTGACAATGATTTCAAAATGACTAAAAAATAGACGACAATAAAAAGGTGGCATCACTTCCAAAGAACACCAGACTTCAACCGGCATCTCCTAAACTGCAACCACACGCATCTGTACCCCTTTATCCCCCAAACCTGAAACGTAAGATGAGTCAGTGCTCGCTCAGGACTTTCCCACTGTTACGAGGTTTTCGGGTTGAAGGCTGGGCAGACGTGCCAGTGGTCCCACAGGACGGAGGCTGTGGTGTTACTGGGCAGTGGCAGGGCCGTTCTTGGCTGTGAAGTGCAGCCACAGAGGGCAAATGCTTATCAGCTGCCCCGCGGGGCCTACGCTGCGCAATGAGAGATGCTCTGCTCACACACAGCTCTGGGCTCATGTGGCACAGCCTCTATCTGGCAGAGCAGCGCGTCCCATTCGTGAGTTACGGGTTGGCTTGGCTTTACAGCGCTTTCTGGGAGCGTGCAGCAGGTTAAGGTTGGTGCGTGCTGCTGAAATAACAGGAGAGGAGAAACCGAGAGAGCCACTTTCCTATTTAAAGTGTTAGCAACAAAGAATATAAAAAGGAAACAGCTCGTTTTACAAAGTGTACACACAAAAAGCATTCCATTTAAATATTTTTTGTTCCAGAAAACTCTTTTGCATACAAAGGACTTATTTATTACATATTTGAACTTGTGGGAAAAAGGGAAGGAATGCACTGATTCCTGAAATAACTCTACACTCTGCTTGGAGACTTCGCTATTCTGTGCTCTTGTTCTACTCTGAACAATGTTATTCCAGGGATGAAGGAATTCCTGGGAGTAGGTTGTAGCTTTTCCACTAGCTGTTTGTATTCAAGAGTGGGCACACACAACACACCAGCCCATGATCTTAATTTTTCTTCCACTGCCTCATGATGTGTGCGTGCTGTTTGTTTAGATGCATGCCTGTGCGTTAACACGTTACATTTCTGCTTGCTCATTTTGCTACCTGCTCTGTGTTATTGCTGCCCAAACCATTGCTTTGACTTGGAAAGTGAGGCAATGCCAATAACAATCTCAAATAGAGAACGAATTAGAAAATGAGTGGATGTACAAATGTATTACAGAGCATATAGGAATACGAGAGCACTCTACAATTCTACAGACAGTGCTGCAGACTAAGTGGAAGGTACAAACAACAAAGAACATCCTATATTCACATCCTTACACTCTACGGTTACTGGTTTAAGTTGGCTTTGAATAGCGTGCCTGATTTGCCACATTTCTATCTGGTGATTGTGTTGAATGCTTGAGGAGATAGTGAAAGATCCAAGCACTCCTTGTGCTAACTACCGCTGAAATTTTACACTTATTGTAACCTTTCCTAACAATGTGAGAAAAACAGAGTAAATATATTAAACTTGTTTTACAACAGATGCTTAGGTTGTTAATATTTAAGATGCCTATTCATGCTATTCCTGTCTGCACATTTGTCAAAAATGTAAGCTTGAATGCTAATGTTTGCCAGCAGACTACAGCAGACAAATATACGAATGCACTGCACTGAAATAATAGGAAGTAGAAGTAAAGGGCTGCTGCTGCCCAGGTGGCAGGGAGCAGAAGGACAGGGCAGGGCGCTGCCCGACCACACGCCTTCAGCATCCGCGTCTGAATTTGGGAATTCTGCGCACGGAAGCACCGTGCTCAGTTGGGCTGACTAAAGCCAGCAGAGAGCTTTCGTCATTTGCAACTCGTTTCGGCTTAGGAGCTGGTGCAAAGTATTTCAGCAAACTTGCATTTTAGCGAAGTTTCTCCAGCAGTGAGAAGCCCGGAGCCAGGCACAGGGAAACTCCGAGCCGGGCAGGTGCCTGTCGGGAGCGCTCCCCGGGCAGCGAGGGCAGACGGCGACCAAAGCGCGCCGATGTGAGCCAAACCTCGTCTGCCGGGTTCGGAAACGGAAAAAAAATAAAATAAATAAAAATGAAAATAAAATCCCGGAGCGTAGCGACGAACTGTTGGCACCGTTCCCCGCGGCAGCAGCAGCGCCGGGTCGTGCCACGGGTGGGCGAGGAGGGACGCTTTCCGGAGGGTCCCTCCGCCGCGCTACTCGGGGCTCGGCTCCCCGCAGCCGCCCGCGCACTCTCCGCGCCCCGCGGAAGTCCCCAACCCATCCCCGGACCGCGAGCCGTCGGGGCTGCCGCCGCCCCACTTCCAGCGGCAGAGAGGCGCGCGGGGCCGCGGAAGAACTTTCCCAAACTTTTCGGGTTTTTCTTTTTCTTCCCGCTGCCCCATCCCCGCTCCCCGCTCCCCCCTCCCGTGACGGAGGCGGCGGGCCGGAGCGCGGAGCGGGGCCGGTGACGGGGAGCGGCGCGGCGGCAGGTGTGCGTCTCGCTGCCGGGAGGCTGCGCCGCCGCACGAAGCCCCCCCCAGCCCGCGCCCCCCGCCCGGCCCCCGCCCCGTCAGGACCCGCGGCGGCTGCCCCCGTCCCCCCGTCCCCGAGGAGCGACGCCGAAGGAGCGGGAGCGACTCACTCATGGGAGCGCGGCGGGCGAGGCCGGCGACACCTCCGGCTTCCGAGGCGCCGGCGAAGTTAATTGCACTGAAGTTCAAGTTGTCTTTTCACCCATCAGGAGTGGGCGTTTAAAGGAAGGAGAGCGAGGAGGAGGAGGGGGAGGGGGGAGAGCCTCTCTCGCTCTCGCTCGCTCTCGCACACACACACACACACACACACACACGCACAAACACACAGACGCGCACACAGACACACGCACACAGACGCACACGCACGCCCGCTCCCGTGCTGCCTCGGCAGGAGGAGCCCGCCCGGAACGCACCAGGGCAGCACCAGGTACCGGCGCGGGGCAGCCCTGCCCGTGCGTGTGCGTGGATGGCTGCGCGTGTGCCCGCGGCCCCCCCCCGCCGCCGCCTCGCACGGCCCCTCCGGGCGGGGACGGGCGCGCTGCCCCGGGGGGGCGGAGGGGCGGCGGGGACAGCGCGACCGCGGGGCTCCGCGCTTTACGCCTCCCTACTGCGCGCCGCGGCGGGGGGCAGCAATGAGAAGGGGTGCGGGGACCGAGCGGCGGCAGCTGGAGCGCGGCGGCTGCGCGCGCGTGTGTGTGTATGTGTGTGTGTATGTGTGTGTGTATGTGTGTGTGCCCCCCCGCCGAACGGGGAGTCAGGTGGGACACACACACACGCGCTCACGCAGCCCCCCCCCCCCCCTCCGTCTCTGTACTCCCTGCCCCTTCCCCGCATTCCTCCTTTGCCTTCATCCTTCCCTCGCTCCTTTATTTATTTTCACGCCCGCCCCCCGTCGCTGCCCCCCGCAACCCCTCCCGGGAAGCGACCTCCGAACCGCAGTGGCGACCTCCCGGGACGGGGCCGTGCGGCATAAGGGCACGCAGCCCCTGGGGTCGCCGCCCCGTCGGGTCCCGCCGCGCCGCGCGTTTTTGGGAGCTGCGCATCACCCCCACCCCCCCGCCCCGGTCTCGGCTGCTGTGTCACCTGGCACCATGTGCTCCTCTACAGCGCTGTTTGAGAATTGTCTTTATTCGTGGAACTTCTCCGTGGAGAGGGACTTTTTCTTTTGTTTTTTAAGCCCTTCTTTCCCATCTTTGCCACTGCACAATTTGGATGTGGAGTTCCTGGAAAGTGAACGCTGGCAATGAGTGCAGCTTTCCCTGAAAGCTGAGGCTGCTGTTTATTCCCTACTGAGAAGAGAGGGGACCGTGGATGTCAGCTCCATCTTTTTTTCTTTCTTTCTTTCTTTTTTCTTTTTTTACTTTTTTCTTTTATTTTGACTTTGAGGCGCATTTCCTCTTCCTGCTCTGGGAATTGGCAGATACAGTTCCTGTAGGCAACTTTGCATCAAGACAGAGACTGTGGAGTCGATACCTCAATGCTTTTCTTAGCTGTGCTCTTCTATTAATTGGTGTTAGAAAGTGCAACCTTGTAGCACAGTTATTGAATAATCATTAATCTGTGGAGGATACACAAGCCCAAAGGTTAATAATAACAATTAATAGTAGTGACTTTGCTAGCAGGGAGACTATTTTCTCATAGTTATTAAAAGGCACTCCCATTTATGCTATGTATGGCGAGGTGAATTTGGCCCTGGCATGCTGTGTACCACATTACTGCAGCAAGCCCATAGATGAATCCTCCCCATTATCTCCATGCTGTCAGGCCTCTCACTTTCTCTCCCTTTAAAATGTATCAAGCACTGCTCTCATTTTAAATAGAAATGCTCAGGCTTTAATCAATTCTGACATTTCCACTGGAAAATAACATTTAGCTCTCTTACATAGATAAAAATTTATTTGCCTACAGCTGGTCTGCTGCAGTCCTTCGGACCTATTTGCTTCTCAGAGAAGAGTTGGCTTTTCATGGTCTCTAGGTACCACAGGGCAATAAATAGAAAGTCAGTGCAAGGGAGATGTTCACACTTTTATAGGCACAACTCTCCACTGCCTCCTCGCTGAGCTCTTCTGTCTGCCTAACCAGCATGCTCCTGTTGTCCAAGACCCATCTCCTTTATTTGTATCACACCCCTGTCTGGCTGGTCAGTGAATCCTAATAATAATCATGTTTCATGTCTCAGAAATCTAATAATCAAGTTACTCATTTGTATAAATTGCAACTGAGCTGTTTGGGTTCGTTGTGCTATCCCCACTTTAAAGGCATGGAAACCGAAACAGGAAAATTAACGCATTTGCCTGAGGCCACACATGGATTTAAGAGTAGGTCCAGCACAGGAACTGAATTCTGTGTTTAGACCATGCTTCCTCTTAAAGATTCTGAAGCACACTGGAAAATGTTTTTAAAGAAAGGAATGTAGTATAAACCATATTTTTCATTGACTTTGTATACTAGTCAAATTACATGCCCTTTTTTTTTTTTTTTTTTTTTTTTTTTTTTTTTTTTTTTTTTTTTTTTTTTTTTTTTTTTTTTAATATATGTTATGTTTCCTTTTCTAAATACAAGATTTATTTGACTTTTGACAAATCATGGTGGTACCTTTCAGTTGCAGTCAGTCTACTGTGGAAACAAGAAACATTTACTATGAGATTATGAGCAATAATGGGAACAGAATTGCTTGTTATTAGGTTATTGTAAACAATATCCATTGGATGTTACAGTGTAGTTGTAGGCCAGCACAACATAATGAGAAGTTCAGCATTAGTATAGATAAGGTGCTATTGCTTACCTGGTGTGCATCAGTTTCCACCATAATTCTCCTTCAGTGCTTTCAGCAGCAAAATACTTAGTGTGGGTTTAAGCACTGAAAAACATGTGGGACAACCATATACCGTGAGAGTTATGATTGATATCATTAAGCAGTGAGTTTTGCAGAGTTGTGTCACTCATGTCAATGAAGCAAGAAGTATTCTGCCAGCCCTTTAGCTGTAGCATGTCATCAAAGCTATATTATGGTATGACTGGGCGCAGATGGCATGTCTAAAAAGCAGGTGTACAATATAACTTTCATATTACTGACACATAGATATTTCCTCTTCCTTAGTGTCCATTCCCAGACATTTGCTTGCCCAGCCTTCTACAGGAGCTATAGAAAGTCCTGCTCATCCTGCTCATCCCTCATGTCTGGAATTGTATCGTCAAAACCCGCACAGAATATGTGTTTATATATATTTGTATGTATTTATGCTGACAGCTCCTTTCTGAGGTTTTTTTCAGAGTCCTGATTTGAGGAAAGTGGATGTAGATCTCACTCAAATAATCTTTCTCCAATACCATCAACATTGCCTGCCAAAAATAAAAGTGGCATATGAATCACAATAATTCACTCATGAATTGGTGGATTTAAAGCCTGCGAAGGAGCATTAGAAATCCACATGATGTTCCTGAGTTTTATGGACTTCGAATGGTGGTAAAAGTATATTTAGCCAAAGACCTATCTTATATGGACTGCAGATCTATCACCTATTGAAGCGAAGGACAATATTAATGAAACTATCTCTGTCCAAATGTTTATCTTTCAGGTGAGGTGACGAAACTGTTGAATCTGCAGACTGAAACCATCGGAAGCCTTTCCTGAGGTGCTCCTTACCAAAATGTTACTGTGGCATAATGATTTGGAAATAAGTTTTGTGTGAGAAGAGCTATCAGATCCTCTGGGAAACATTACAGATACTTTCCAGTTCCTTTCAGACATGTAAATATGTTTAGACATGAGCAGAGAGTAGAGCTGGGGAGTGGAGTAGGGCAGGGAGTAGGGTGGGGTTAAAAGCTTCCTCATAGATCCTAGAACCAAATAAATACATGTTTTTTTTCTTCTTATCTGATGTTAGCTGGAGCTTGAAATGGTCAATATTAAGAAGAAACACCCATAAGCATGTGTATATGTAAGAGTTATGTTGACCCATGATTAAAAGAAAGGGTCATCTTCTGCCATTCATCACAGGTGATCAATAGAACTCTCCATAATGCTTGCACTGATCCCACGAAATACAAACCTTACAAAGTATGACTTGTTTCCAGCTCATAGTGTGCAGCTATAGCTATAGCACTGAAAACTGTTGCATGCTACCTAGCATTTGTCATGATTTTTTACTTTCTTCATTTGTTTTAAGCTAAGTACATCAGAAACTGAAGAAAACATTTGAGGTTTTTTTCCCCTCTTAACCTACAAAAATATCAGCCTGACTTCTGTAATGTGCTCATGTGCTATTACCTGTGAAAAAGAGCAAGATGATACTCACTAGCAAGGTCTGTCCATCACTGTCCAGCTGCCTAATGACATGTTAAGACTTGGTTTCAGCAACTGTGCTCCAACCAGTATTACTATAATTGGTTGCAGTTGAAGATGTCAGTAAAAAAATACAACCAGGCTAGAGCATCCTATGTATATTTTAAATGCAAATGGCCATTATCAGCTGTATCATAACTTTATCTGATGTCTGATCTCAGTGGTGGCTCTGTGGAAAAGATTCAGATGACTTTTTCTGAACACAGCCACTCCTTTCAGTGCCATTTCTGCAGTCTTTCGATTATCTTGCTATCTGTTTGCTAGACACCAACCTTCTGAACTTAGGCCCGTGTCACCTCACTACCTGTGTCTCTCCTAAAAAATCTCTTCTTTCAAAGGGTATCATGCCAGTAATGTAACAAATTCATTTGTCCTTCTGCAGACTGGCTTGAGTTTCTTCTAGCCATTCACTAGAGGTGCTTGTTTCTAGGCCTGATGCTGCACAGTACCTCAATCCACTCAGCTTCTCTTCAAGATGGTAACTACTTTCCTCTCCACATATCTGCTGCAGAAGATCTTGTGATTACCTGAAAAAGTGAATTGCATCCTGTAGATTTCCCCTTAAAACTTCTGCTTCACAGAAAAGTTCAGCTTGTGACAGATGCGTCAACGATGTGAGACTCACTTCTCTGTTGCCTAATTGCCCTCTCCACCTTCTGTCAATCTGAAACTTTCATTTTGGAAAGGATTGAAGGAGTTGTATTAATATTTGTGCTAGCCACTTTTTTTCCTGCACATTTTCTCCTTTCCTTTGGTGTCTGGTTTGTCTTGGCTGCTTCTAAAAATTCTGTTGCCTCTAGTGAGGGACTGCCAGATTAAACCAGTACAGAGAAGCCAGGTGACTGTCTACTTTTACAAATATAGGTTGTGTATAATAAATTCAGGTTTTACATCTATGCAAATTAAGTCATCAGATGATTCTGACTACATGCATTTTTTTTATCAAATATGGCATATATTTCACAGATTATATTTAACTTATACACATGTTGCTATTCTGAATACCTGACTAGGAATTACGAAGTGTGCCACCAGATCTTAGTAAATGGGCTTATGGAACAAGAAGAAATAATAGAAATTCACCTCTTTTCCTTGCATTACAGACAAGTCCAGTGTAAGGGCTTTTCTTACTCTAGATGGCAATATAAACACCACAGAGCTGTTCAGAGATACATCTTTTTGTTGGGAATTAAAGAATTTACAAAGAAACAAAATACCCTAAAAAAAAGGAAGTTATAAAGTAATGTGTCTTTGGTCTAGTGTTTGTCACATTTGGTATGGCCTTCCTCTAACGTTTCAGTCATGCAGAATAAGACATTAGTCACAATGTCAAAATAAGCATGTTACTTCTGCAAAAATGTATTTTCACCTCAGGAATATTGTGAAGTGAAAATAGGATTTAGCACAATTCTTCCTTTTGAGTTTTTCTGTGGACAAGACAGTTTTAGTGTAAAGCTCTAAATCTTGCAAGATGATCCCCAATTGTAGGTACGACACCCCTGGAAGAATCTGCCAACTGAGTGCTGGCAAGGACTATGCTGAGAAGGTAACAATTCAGTGCTTTCAGTGTTAACTGACCTCAACAACTGCTGTTTTTTGTTGTTATTGTTTTTTGTGTTTGTTTCTTTGTTTTCCCAATAAATAAACAAGTATTTTGTTGAGCTCAAGATGTCTCTGTCAGTATTTATATTTCAGACTGTAGGAGAGAATCTGAATGAAGTGAAATGTGCAATTCAGGTGGAATTCAGGTGCAATCCAGAAAACCTCTGCTAAACAGAGGCAGTTGCTAAACCTCAGAGCAGTTTAGCATTAGTCCTCATAATTCATCCTTTTCCATTTGGGAATCCCACGCTACCTTTTGGGCCTGCTCATGCCCAAGTCCTCTGGACCCCAGCTCTTCAATGTTTTGTTTCTCCATTCAGATCACCTCATTGGCACAACCTTTCCCCTACTCTTTGGGTTTCCCTTTTTTAATATGTATTTTTTAATTTTATCTGTATTTTTTGATTGAGGGTGGTGGTGTCTATGTTCCACAGCAATTTCAGATAGAGTAGACAGAAATAATCCCAGGAAAATTCAGCTTATGTTCCAACCCTGAGAATAACCTAAACATTAGATTATGATCTAAAGAATCCTGAATTTGTTGTGGGGCCTCAAGGGCACTGTTTCAGTAGAAAGGTCAAGAATGCTTTTTCTAAAATAACCATCAGACTGATGGTCAGAGTCTTTCCCTGGGGGAGAGGAGTGTGCCTTTCAGGGCAAGAGCAATGAATCCCATGATTTTCTGACTGCTCTAATCACAGAGTTATACAGAGGGAGATGAGAAGCCAGCTTCTCCTCTAGCTATGTTTTAATGAAACATCAGTTTTGAAGGAAAGATCACAGGAACCTATTTTCATACAAAGAATCAGGGTGTAGATACTGAGTGGATGGAGGCATCTCTCAGACAGCCCTGGGTTTGTAAAGCTCTGTAAAGAGCCCTGTCTTTACAGGTAACCCTCAGGTAAAGGCCTGGCTTTAGAGGAAGGCAGTATTTTGTATTTGGGACAAAACTCTGAGTTTTTTCTCTGTTAGTGCCAGTCAGCTTATGTTGGGCTCAAAGCACAACGTGCTGGCTGTTTTCCAGGATGCCTAAGCCTCTCTCTATGCACAACACTTTAGAAACATGGTTCTGGATATCAGATAGGGGACCATGGGTTTGAAAACAAGATGCTGGAATACCAAGGTTTTGTAGCACCAGAATTCTTTGCTAGATTACACCATAGACCATATAAATTAGTATCTGTCTGTTCATAGCAGTTGGTTCCTTATCAACACCAATACTTAATGCCTGCTAGTAACTGTTCTCTCAGTAGATTTTATGGTCCATTTTAATTTTGTATCACAAAGGACAGCACAGAAAAAAATGCTGGACTGAGTATAATTTATAATGAAAACTCTCACTGTGGTTCCCATTAGAAACGGTAACAGTTAGGACACTCGTATTGGCTTGAATTCTCTAGGTTACAAGGTTCAGTTTATGTGTTTGTGGAAGCTAACTAAATTAAAATAAAAACTTGTACACTTTTAACACTTTTTTACTCTTTTTTTTTTTTTTTTTTTTTTTTTTTTTTAGG